ATATATATATATATATATATATATATATATATATTTCTCAAATTTTAGCAAAAAATATCAATTGTGTTATAATGTATATGATACAATTTAATCTGTTAACGTTTAATTTGTTAACTGCCCTGTACAGAAAGTCCATGCTAAATGCAAACCCTGGACCAGATGCACAAAACATTTGAAAAGCACTTTTTACACCCTCTATGCACAAACATTTGTTAAATTAAAGCTATGCACACTATGTATGCATAGCAAATATATGGCTTACATGTTGAATGACATGAATTCCACCTTTTGGTATTCCCTTAGCCTAAGACCAAGAGCTTGCAATGTATCCAGTTCATGTACAGTTACTCAAGTGTGCACAGGCCAGAAAGGAGGCAGAGTCAACAAGTACAAACACATGGGCCATTGGTAGACATGCTCACCATTTTCTAAACCATGTTAACTGTTTCATATCACACAATTTGAATCAAATTTCAATTAGAATTAAGGGCTAATAGATGATCATTGACCATCAGGGAGATTTTCCTGAATTTCTGGGCCATAAAAGTGTGCTCACGTGCTACATCTGGTGGTGGGCACAAGCAACAGCAAGCCCTAAATCACTGCTGTATATACATGTTAATTAATACAGTTTAAATTGCCTAGTTTAGACTGCCCTAGTCTGCATTCTTTAATCCTCTTTCAGCAAGAATTAGATCATTCTGACTGGAGCCAATTTTACTTTGGACTACAGACATCCACATGTATATAGTGATGACTGTAGTCCGGATGAAACCTAGAAAAATGTAACGTCTATAAATGGCCACAGATGTGAATCAACATAACTCTGACTGTTGCTTTATTCAATCAGGGTGAAATTCACTCATGTGGAGGTCCCTCATGAGGCCTGTGCTTCACTTTCATTCTATTTAAGTCTCCAAAAGAGAGGATAAATAATACATAGACTCACACTTGTGCATAGGTGTGAATTTCATCCCCAGTGAATACTGCTCTGAAAAGGGCTAATGGCTGTTTGTAAAGGGGTTTTGGCCATTGAGGTAATTACACAATGGGATTTTAAAGGACTAAGGGGAATTTAATGGCCCAAGCCACATGGACAGAGTACACAACCCAGAGGGCAGTGTGGAACTACAGGGTTTCCCTACAGATTCTAAATACATCAATACATGGCTGGTTGCAAACAGCATAAATTTATACAAATCAGCCAGGAAAAAAGTCGTGTGTTATACTGATAGGATGCAGAGGCTGAGAAAGACCATTTACTTGGGCATAGTGCTAGACAGAAAGGTTAGTTTGAAGATTTATGAGCAAGGAAACAGCCCATGTGCTGAACATCTTTGCTGCTTCTCAGGAAAACAGGACTTTGGATATGTTTCTGTCAATCCACAAATTACAAATTACATTAGCATTACACTGACTCCATGTTGCTGATGTCTGATCTGAGCAGGGCTACCCTCCAGGGACTCAAGAGATCATGTATAGACTATCCATCCATGACTTTCCTTGAGCAAAGCAAATTTATTAGTTGAATGTTCTTGTATGTGGTTCCTCTGGCCCACTGTTGCTGAATAAAATACGTTCAACTTCATGGCAAGCATGACATTGCTACTGGAATCTTACTGAATGTCGCTGAGCCTGGTATTGAGACCACTTTGATCTTAATCTTGAATAATACTGAATGTTATTTAATTTGTTTTAAACAGAGATTTCAATGGCTGGTTTCATTAAACACCAGGTTATCTCCAGACTGAAGCCACAGCATCAGGATATAGGTATTGTTCCCAAAGGATGTTTTGAACAAATCCAGAACGTGTCTGTACAGCCTACATTTTTTTGTTTCCAGACTTTTTAAGAAACCTGACTCATGGGACTTAATGTCATATGCAATGTGGCTGCATGAACCATTGTCTGCCACAACTTCATTTTGGCTTTCCATTTCCACGAGATGTTGATCAAGATAGGTAGATGTGGCACTTTAGTAGCAATCTAGTGCAAATTATATGTGCCTCATGATTAGTATGTCTTTCATGTTCATTTGGCAACAACTGGTTTCAGTGATGCAACTAAAACAGAAGTCCAGTTCTTGGCTTAAAAAGGACTGTGACCAGGTTTAAGAAAGTAGAATAGAGGAAATAAAACAGCAACAAATACAGCTGAAACCTTGAGAGTTAAGTGCCTTGAGTTGTCAGCCCATGATTTGTGGTTTTTAGTATCATTATTCTCTCCAATAGTTCCATAAAAATGGCATGGTCCAAGAATAAGTTGACAGAGGTCATAACAGCCCCACAGAAAGCTGTGTTAGTGGTCTTTGATGCTTTACTGTTTTCCCTGCAAGAGAATTAAAAAGAATATACATGATCATGAGATATGCTCTACCATGAAATTTCAGGTATTTAATGTAGTTATAAGGAGAAAACAAGTTATAAGGAGAGAACAAGATATTTAAAATATCACTTGAATCAATCTTCCTTCTCCTTATAATGATCTGTTTCTTAAATAGGACATTGCTGATCCAGTAGCACTTCACCTTTAGTTTAAAAAGACACAGAAAACACTATAACCAACCTATAACAATTTATATTTTAACAAGTTGTATAACTGGGAATGGTTAAAATGAGTAAAATTACCTTTCAGGCCTGAAATGTCAGAAGCATTTGAATAGTAGCAAATCTAGTTGCGTATCAGAGCAAGTTTTTGCTCAGTAGTTTTCACTATATCTTCTGATTTCTTACAGTGTATAGGCTCACCTGAAAAACACACAGATGCAAATAAGAACATGTTTCAAGAAGTTATTGAAGAAGTCTGCTCAGGCAGGCTTTCATCCTTGATATCAGATGTTACCAATGATTTTGATGTTTTATCTTCCTTTTCTACAGTTGCATGTCTTAAACTTCGTCTTCAAATCATTTTTTTCTTTCCAAGAGGAAAAAGGTATAGGCTGAATTAACTAATCATATTCATTTATTCATAAGACAAGTACCAGAATGAAAACACTGGATCAGAATATGAAACAAAAACAAATAGCCATATATAGCAGCTAATTGTTAATAGTGGCTTGGAATGATTTCCTCAATACAATTTCTGCACATATTTCAAGTTCTTAGGCAGACAAGGTTCTTTGGGAGAACCTGGTATCTTTTATTAGACCAACTTAAAGAGTTGGAAAAAAAAATTTAAGCAAGCATTTGGGTTTAAAACCCTTCATCAGGCTGAGGAAGTTTCTGCAGTTGGTGTGTGCTCTTCCTTAGCCTGATGAAGGGTTTTTAAACCCCAAAGCTTGCTTAAAATGTTTTCCCCCAACTATTTAAGTTGATCTAATAAAAGATATCAGATTCACCCAAAGAACCTTGTCTTCCTGTGTCCTTCGACCAATACGGCTACAACCTACACCCCTGTAACATGGAAGTTCTTAGGCAGAAATTTGAACAGGGAGGCCCTACATAACCACTTTACTGCAGAACTCCAAAAAGATGATTTTCAGGTGAAAATTGTCATTATAAAGTTGTAATGAAAGCCTAGCCTAAGAGTTCTGCTGATCGAACCAGTTCACAGAAATTCACAAGGTATAGTTATTTAGGTCTAAAAGGAACAACGTGGCTGGAATTTCAAATCTCGGCTATAAGAGCTAACTCTGATGGCTTATGAAACACACAAATTATTTCATGAATACCTTTGACAAATTAGAAAAAAAATGATAAACTTCTAGGGATCATTTTCACTGAGAGAAAGAGGCCCAATAATTTATTAACTACATTAGTTGCTCAGTTCTAACCAGATGATTATATGTTGTGGCCATTTATTGCTACTGCTGGCTTACAAATTCAGTCAAATGCAAAACAAAGCAACACACAGAAGGGCAGGGAGGTAGAGAAGGAACATTTGAGGAAAAATATGTTTGAAAGGAGGAAATGAAAGATTGGTTATAGATCAGTATAGCAGGCTGAGAAGAAAAGCAAAAAAGAGAGGTTTGAGAAAAGGATGAAGAACAGTCATTTAACCATAGGTGGAGAAGGAGGAGGAGAAGGGAGAGATAAAAACGCACTGAATTCACTATGGGTGAAGGTTTGGCAACATCTGTAGACACATGGAAATATTTCAGGTGATAACAGTGGGGCCAGGATTTCACGCATGTTCTCATTCCTTTGTAACTTCACATTCCTGAATAGCACGGCCTAGCATTTAAAGTGCTATCCTGTTCTGTCTTTGAGTTGCTGTTCCTCCAGTTTCCTTTTAATGATGATCCTTAGTGGGAAGTGAAAATAGATGGTCTGTTTCTCTGCACTAGTGTGAATTTTCTTCTAATGAACAGCTGGTGCTGAAAAATCTGACTTTATTCTGAATAGGAGTGCAAACTGAAAATTAAAATTCTCCAGACAGGAAAATTTAGGAAAAATGATGTTTGTTTTCTGTCACTCAAAAATTATTTTGATTTTGGCTTTTATTTTGTAAATTATAAAAATAAAAAAGTCATATCATTTAGAAAATATCAAAATGGACAATTTTAACATTGTCATTCAAAATCCTGAAATGTCAGCCTGAATGAAATGTTTTGATTACGATCGAACTGTATAAGCCAATGGGATATTGTTCCATCAAAGTTTCTCAGATCATCTCTCCTGAGTATGAACTGCACTTCCATTTCTAGTAAGATTCACTTGTGACCTCCTTTAATAAATAACAGGCATATACCTGGCTTAACTGTCTGTACAGTTGTATTGTTGGAGTGAGATGAAACAACTAGACCATATTTGATAAATCTTAACATCTAAGCCCAGCTAAGACCCATGCACCACTTAAATCTTATTTAAGCTTCAAAACAAAATTACAGTTGTATTTAGGAGGTGCACACACAATTTTGTGAGTGTTATTCTAAAAAGGAGTTAATGCTGTCAGCCTGCAGTTTTTGTTAAAGTCTTCAGAACTGAGTAAAATCTTCATTTCCACCAATATAAATAAATACATGAAGCAGGGCATGAACATCAAAGCAAATCCAATGATTTTGGATTCAGTCTGCTACACTCAGCACAGCATGATGGGCAGTGTTTTAGGAGCTGGAAAAAAGTGTTTGTGAAGGCACTGAAAACAGAAACTTAGTATGTCTAATCCCTAGACAAACTTAGGATAGATTTCCGATTCATGTCCAGCTTTCATTAATTCTAGATATCAATTTAACATGTGATAAGTCATGACTTGGAAATGCTTGGTATTGATTTTTTTTTCATCTCCCCAGGCTTTTTGATCAATAGATCAGCTGCTTTTTCCTTTGATCTTCTTTTGTTCTTTATCCATACCATCATATATTTTTGTGCAAGATTTAAGGATCAAGATCTAGCAGTGTCCTGCATTGCATTTTACTTCTTTACTCCAGGGCAAAATATGTGTAAAATCCTACAGTTATGAATAGTAGTCCTTACTACTTTGCATGGCTGTGGGCATGTCTACATGTGCCCCTGACTGTGCAGTTGTTACTGCGCAGTCCAGGTGGCACATGGGTTGTTTCCAATGCCTATTGCACAGAAGTGCTGGTGTCACGGTTTGTGCCTACCGATGCTACGTCACCAAAAAGATAAGCTATGTTGCTGTAGCTTGTCTCATGTAGATGCACCCTGTAAATGACTGCACAAGGTGTAGGGCAAAATTAAACAGTGCATAGAGCCCACAACTCCTTTGGCTAACACTTATCTGGCTAAGATAGCAACAGGGCCCTTGTACATGTGAAGGGAATTTAGTCCTTCGGGGTTGCAGTCTATGCCCCCTAAATTGAAACGGTGGGTTTTATATTTCCATCACTGTCTACATGTCATGGGTCTTAAATCTCATTAAATGCTCAGTGCGCTATACACACTAAATTACTTCAGAGGGCTACAAATAACAATCCACCATGCTGATCTCTCCATACTAAATTACAGCAGGGGGTGCCATGCACCACTAATCCCTGCTACAGACCAATGATGGCTATAGCTCACAGCTCACTGATATGTACAGATGACTAAAAGTGGTGTGACTGAATTAATTTAAGTGTCATTTCATTTGTTTAATTAATTTCATTATTTTTACACGTTTACACATTTTTAAACATTTAAAAAAAACTTTTAGACCAATATTAAAAATATATATATTCTTATTTTATTCTTATTCCTTTCAGTCCTCTCTCTATTTTTATTCTGATCTAATTTTTTATTTTCCTGTTTCTATGTCATCAAATAAATTTTGTTGTGTGTGTAAATCTGGGGGCTTTTTTGTTTTTTTATTTACTCAAACAGCCACCCCTACAAACGGCACCGAAATTCTCTGTGCACTTATATGCACAAATCTGCACCCTGTGAATTCCTGTTATATATCTTCCCATGCATATTGGAGTGTTGTGGTGCACTAATTGAAACTCTGATAATGCGCTACCTGCATTATCACACAGGGGGTCCCAATCCCAGAAGATGCCTGGAACTCCCCCTTCTGCATCCACATTCCTTCATTGTTGGGTGTCATTGCTTCATTCAATGTTTCTCTTCCATCCCCAGTCACTGCTT